AAAATAAAGAGACTGACTGGAACCTGGTGGAGGAAAATAAGGTATCTGTTTTTGGTTTGGGTTGACATACCTCTATATGGGCAATTGTTTAACCAGCAATAGGTTACTTTATATGTGACTTTGCCACAAGGTGGTGTCCAAAGCAGCTCACAACAATATCAGATGAACACTCACAAATACAATAATGCAAAGACACAGTGGCATGAACAGTTCCCATTATAAATAATCACAGACCCAATCAGTAAATAGAGGATAAGCATATCTTAGATCTGTTGAACTCAGGGCATCTTGCATTTGGCAGCTTTCCCGCCTTTTACATGGCAGCCTTCCACAAGCATTTTCATAACAGCGAAGAACTTCAGGAGAGAGAGAAAGTAGAACCAGGAGGCAGCTTTAAATGATAATATTGTATAAACAGCTGCTTTGGGTGTTCATCCAGAAGTGATTGTCCTTGAAATCTGGAAAACAGAAGCAGATGTCAATGAGAGACAAGCAATCCTGGACTCCAGAGCCGACACTATACCAGTTGCCTGCCCTGCACTGAATTTGGTCGGTGCTGGAAACATTTGCTGGACTGAGAATCGGAGGCATATGGAGGAGAGGTTGTTTGCTGACCGTCAAGGGTGAGCCTTTGTTTGGTGCTGCCCTGCCTTCCTGCCTGGGAGCCCCTGCAGGAGCTGCTGTCTGGGACGCGCAGCAGCTGGGCATGGCTTCTTTTGGCCGTCGGAGCGGAGCATTTCCTCTGCTCTGTCCCACCCTCTGTGCAAGGAGCCCCCCGGGGCTAAAGGTGATTCCTGGTGCCTCGTAGCATATTTTTGGTTTTGTGGAGAGATGTTAGGAATGAGACACAGGAGTGTTTGGGGTTTAGGTTTTTAGCCGTAAAGAATAAATATCTTATTGAAATATTGCTACCTTACATTAGTTGTAACCTGAGTATGTAAGAAAAGTGTAGAGGCCCTGTCCACATGCACCATGATAGCCCCTCATGGCTTGGAGTACCTTTGGGGGTCTCTTGTGTTGTGCTAGGACTGTATTGTTGATATTGGTGCAATAGTCACACAACCTTATTCATACATCTGCAAATAATGCAATTGGCATAGTCTGTCCATTATTAATTAGTCCATTTGTTTGCCAAATTAAAACCTGCTATTTCAGAAATCTGCTATTAGAAGAATCTAATCTGCTGTTAGAAGAATGGCTACCTAAAGTAGGACCTTTTCTGTGTTAGCACCTCAGCTGTGGAAAATGCTCTCCAGAGAGGTGCGCTTGACACGGACACTTTATCCATTTCAGCACCTGGCTGAAACCTTTTTATTCACCCAGTATTTTAAGGTATGATGGCATTTTTAAGGTGGGAATTTTTTTACCGCCTTATTATTATTGTTTTTTTACATTGCTTTTTCATTGCGCTGTTACTATTGTGAGCCATCTTGAGATCTGTTTTGGTATAGACAGGATATAAATGTTTTAAATAAATAAATAAGCTGATTAATTTGGGGCCCATCTTTACCATTCAGTTCTGGAGAAAACATTAAGAATGTGTTATTTGTTTCTCCTCTAGCTGTGCAGAAGTGACCAGTTAGTTGCTCCCCCAGTGTCACTGCACATATTCTATCACAGTATCTCCAAAATGAGAGTCCTTGGTCACTTTTCCATATGTTGAGATTCTCAGTTCTCGCAGCCCCTCGCATCACCAACCGTTTCTGCTCATGTGGCAACCTTGTGCATGACGTGCTCTGCCAAATGCGAGTGCTCGCTTCCCCAGTGAACTCAACGCCAGTGCGAAGTGGCTGAAGTCCATGTGGTGTCTGATGTTTATGCATCCTCATTCATTGGATGTGCAATTCCACTGTGCCCCACTACTGCATTATAAATATAGCCCCCATTCTCTCTCTTGTGACATCTTGGATCACAGCACACGCGTGACTTCATGCAATAATAGCTTGTCTTATTGTTGTTTTTCCTGCTTTGGATCATCCATTCTTTTGGTCTGTCTGCATTTTTATTTCTTCTTGTTTCTGCCTTGAGAACCATCAGAATAGGTTGGATACCCATATTAAATTATTATTCTGTCATAAATTATTAGTCTTTTCAAAGACCAGAAAAACCCATACTGGCTGGGGATGATGGGATTAGTCCAACAAACCCAGAGGGCACCAAGCTTGGGGGAAGGCTGTAAAATCTACACTGAAGGCAACTTTTTCTTGAAAAACAGAAAACAAACCTATTTTGTAGGATAGGTATGTTGCTTACTCTGTAGTTTGTTCTCCCATTACCATGGCTGCTTTGTTGTAAGCCCTGAGCCTTTTTGAATTGCTGCATGTCCAGCCCATAATCCCCACCTCTGTTTCAGCTGATGTGCTAATCCTCCCATGCCATGATTATTCCTGTACCCGAGAAGAAGTTCCCTGGGCAGCGAAGGATAAAGGATTAGTTGTAGGGTTGTTTTTTAAAGTAGTATTGTGTTTTCTTATGCTTTTTCCCAGCTGGTCATATTTACCTTTACGTAGTGCCAAGTTTTCAACAAATTCAGACAAGCCTAATAAAGCCTGGTAAACCTGTTCTCTAAATGATACCATGGGAGTCTGTTCTTCATTCATAACATCAAAAGTGCAATTGCAACCTTTTCCTGAATCACTCCTTTTCTGAATAACGGTGAAGGATCAGATTGGACTTTGTGAAAATGGGCCCTTCTCATTCATGTCCCACCTCGAGCTATGGGATGCTCTTCTATGGGCTGTCTGTTCAGCATCTTCCCCTCTGACATTCTGCAAGTTGGCTAAAATGCTTGTTCGTCATGCTTTTAATTGCTGGGAGATTTCCCCCCCCTGTTGCTTACTGCTGCAGCATTGCTGATTTTTCTCTGTGTGCGCTTGTATCTTACCATGTACAAATCAGGAATGTGCACATCTCTGCCCAATTGTCATGGAGAATGAAAAAGGAGCTAAAAATGAACTTCCTATTTTTTAAAATTTGCTAGCCTGCTGCAATAGGTCATGAAGTCATTTTCCAACCCATTTTCTTGTCATCTTTGTGTTTTTAGTGTAAATCCAGCCACCCCCAACCTCATGCCCTCCAGATGTTTTGGAGTTCAACTCTCATCAGCCCCAGCTAGTATGGCCAATAGTCAAGAATGCTAGAAGTTGTGATCCAAAACATCTGGGGGACACCAAGTTGTGGAAAGGGGCTGTAAGCCGTTCTTTGCAAGTTGCTTTGGACAACCAGCTTGCTCCCACTTCTTTTGATCAAGCCATTAGCTGATAGCTCAGCTAAATAAATATTCATAACCTTTGTTTTCTGTATATGTTAATAAACATGCATGTGCACACACACATGTATGTATGTATATATCATATTTGTGGAGGATGATGATATTAAGATATTAACATCATTGGGCACTTTCCTCAATAACAGCAACAAAATAGACTCAAGATGACTTGCAAGAAACTTAAAACATACAATAATTTAAAACAGCTAAAAACAGTTATCAAGATATCAGTGATGACCATGGACAATTCAACCAATGATTAGAAAGGCCATTTTATCTCATCAAGTACAGAACAGTAGAGGAAAATCTTAATCTGTTGCTGCAAGGATGACAATGTTGGTGCCAGGTAGACCTTGCTAGGGAGGGCAATATATGGAAGAAAGTGTTGGTGTGAGAGCATGCCATTAAATCTGTTCCACTGGCTCTGTGTGTGTGGGCGATATGTGTGGGCTCTTTCAAGAAAAAGTTTTCCTTTATGGATCACATCCTTACTATTCCATCTCTTTTAGTGGCCACTCTGTAACTGCTTTCTGGTTTGCGAAAAATCCCTGCTACTTCAGCTCTTTAGTACTTCAACAAAATAAATACATGCATTTTCAGAAAGCAAGCAGCTTTTGTGAAGTGCTTCATTTTATGCTACTTCAGTCATTCATTCTCATTATGTTTTAAGTATTTTCAGACAGAAACCAGCTTTCAAGATCTGCTTTATTTTATATTCAGCAATGTTTGTTCAGTAGTTTTAGCAATTATCTACTGATTTGGGGTACCTGGGGGGTCGGGAGAACATATCAAGTAAAAATGTCTGGAATTGGATACTGAAGCAAAATATTTCTTCTGTGAAAGTGCTGTCAAGTTATGACTAGTTGCTGTTTGGTATTAACTTTGCAAAGTGTCTGAGTATAACACAGAAGAAATAGTGTTAAGTTACATTATCCAGGACTCATTTTTTCCCCTTTAGCTTTAGGCACTGTGGATTCCAAACCCCAGTAACTCTGAGAAGCAGCACCCGGGGTTGCTATGCATCGCATTCCAAGATGCAAAGCACCTTCTGTGCAATATTACTGCTGAACCAGTGGAGTAGCTCAGCAGGCTGAACATTTGTAACTCTAGCAGCCCGGTAGTGCAGAAGGAAGAGAAACCTAGAAAGCAAAGATTCAAAAACTGAATCTTGCTGAATTATTGACAAATGCTAAACTTTTACCACATACATTGAAAATAGATTAGTATAATAATCGGTATCTTATTCTAGATCTTGAAGGGTCTTTCTGATTTGTTCTCCCCAATCTTCATCGTCCTTCCACAGCCTAGTGCCCTCTAGATTTTTTTGAATTCATATCACATGTAGCCAGTATAACAATATCCAGTATTCTGGGAATTATAGACCAAAACATCTGGAGGGCAAAAGGTTGGGAACGGGCTAGAGTAGTCAGTCCTCAAGTGCTCTTTGCTACATTCTTAAAACTCCAGGATTTCCTCAAATTTGAAGGGCCAGTTTGAATGACCACCAGCACCTTCCATGGCTTAAATAAGCTACAGAGGGTTTTGGCGCTTCCCAGGCCACTGGTGTGAATATTCAAGGTGCAACAGGTCATTGCAATGGCTTATCATGTTGTGTGAAGCCAGGCAGGGTGGCTTGGCACAAGCCGCCCCAGTATGCTGCTATAGCGCAGTCTTAACACTGAGCCTTTACACACACACACAAAACAAACTTTTTCCTTTTTCCTCCTCAAAGCATTTTACGCCACACCAGAACTTGGGAGCATGGCTACGAGCAATGGAAACAGTGACTCGATAGTTTTGAGCAATGGCAGCATTCCAAGCAACACAAACCCAGATCTCCTCTCAACCAGCGATGGCACGGTCACCGTCCAAAACCTCCCACCCAAGGAAACCACAGGAAGAACAGTGAGTGCAAATGGGTGCCTTCAGCTCAATGGCATGCTCAAAGCATCATTTCTGCCTGTAGATGACCAAAGACCTCCGCAGGTGTTGCCGCAGTGCTGTCGCCCTTGTCCATTTCATCATCCACGAAATAGCCATAGCAACCTTCAAGAATGTCTCTCTCTGGCTGGCCACCCAGCACCATCTCCAGTAACTTCCTGCTGTCCTAACCCTCACACTGAATATTCCGCCTCTGCTTGCCCCAAACACCCTCCCTTGTATCCGCCTGCCTGCTGCCTTCAGTCTTCGCCCTCATTCTGCCTACATCAGTGGCCAGAACATTTTCAGCACCAGCCTGCACAGCAACATATATCCAGTATACGGTAAGTAGAGTGCGTTTTCTACATGGTCTGAACTGGTTCCAGTTCTATATGCTTTTTGGTGTGCATCACACAATATGCATGGAGATTTTAGAGCAATCCAGCGTGAGCTAAATCCTTCTTCCTATGGTGCTTGTGTTTACACACATCCCACAGCCCATTCACATGTGCTTCTCCCCATCCCATAACTACCACATATATTCTTTTCTCTCTCCCCACCCCACAAGCTTTTTTTCATGTGCGCTCACATTCCTATACCTATGCACCGTGCATTTTGTGGAGGTGCCATGAACTATGCAAGAGAGTACACATCTTGCATTCATTCACACTCGTGTGTGTTGTGAATACCACCCACTGATCCCTCCATTGTTCAGTGTTTTACACACATGGCACATCTCTCTCCCCCCTCCCCCCACATTTTTATAGCTACTATGATTTATTAAGCACACATGCATACACAAACATCGCCCTTCCATTCTGTCTCTCCTGCACACGCATAGACCCAACAACCCCATTCACCCACAAGGATACCCCTCACACAGCCTATGCATCTCCCCATATAAACCTGCACACATCATATTCTCATACACTCCACTCTCTTCTTCTCCCTTCTTCTTCCCTGTCTCTTTCATGTACATGTGTGCACTTGCACACACACACACACAGAGTTCAGCTTCTGTATTGTGCAGCAGGAAAGCACGCCCTTTTTGTCTGTGTCCAACTGCCTGGGCTACTGAGCTGCACAGTGGCTTCTGTCCTCGTCACACAGACAGAAGCAACGCAATCTAGGTATGGCAAAGAGCTTGTCTTTGTTCTCCTTGTCCAGGGCCCCTTCCTTACCACACAGCCTGGAAACTCAGCAGCTCCCTCTCCCCAAGGAGTGTGGCCTCCGGGAAGGAGGCCTCAGCCAAGACTCCGCCGGCCACATCCAGCTCACAGAGTAGTGGTTCCCCCCACTGCATTTGGGGCTGCTTGATATATGACATTTTCCTACGGATAAATAATTTGTTTATGTGAAAAGAATCATGTACAAAACATGCTCATTCTTTGCTGAATAACTTGAACATATCCATTTTATTGTGAGTATAAAGGCTGGGAAACCAATTCAAAAAACATTGTATGTGGAGCAGCCCCGATTGGCAATCATCCAGTGTGCATGTTCTGACAGTGTAATATTAAATGCAGGTGTCCTTCCATTTTTGTATGACACATTAATTAAATTTAGTGTATCATGAAACCTCCTTTCATTACTGTAGATGCCCACTTTGTTAACTTGAACTGGGAACTGGAACGCGGGGGGCAGAGTACTATTACAGGGAAAGGAGCTCTGCACAAATTTAACTAAAAATTGAGACTTGGCAAGTGACCAATTTAGCACAGCAGGTTAGTGCATGTTTTTCAACTCTGTAGCTTAACATTTGTCAGTGACCTAACATTACAAAAATGAAGTGTTGATTCTTGATGTTGTAAATTGGTTGCTAAAAAGCAAAGCAATCCTTTTGCTGTTTTTTAGTGGAGTTGGATTCAGCATAGTATTTAGTGTTGAATTATGAAAATTAGAATGCATTTAAAAATTTAAAATCTGCACATTCCAGATTTCTTTCAGTATTTAGAGGAACCTAGTCAGTATGCACTTTTGTTCTGATAATGAATCTCACTATGCAAAATTTACATATTTTGTACTCATGAGCTGCTTTACTTTATTATACTTTTGAGTTATAGAGAAGGTTGAATTTTGGACACCTTTAAAAAAGTCCTATATTAAAGACTTCAACCCCAATCTTTATGGCCAATGCTCAGTGATGGTGGGAATTGTAGTCAACTTGTGTTTCCTTACCTGGGAGCATAGTAGTTCCAGCAGAACTACTCCTGCTATAACCAGATTAAGCCCTATTCACTTCAGTGTATCTGCTCTTAGTAGGATACACTCAGTGATTGGCCCAGAGTCACCCACTGAGCTAAGGATCAAAATGAACCTGAGTCTCCCCAATCCTAGTCTGACCACACCAGTGGTGAAGCACTTGTGAACTGTCTGCACAGGCTAATCAGTGAGGATGCCTCAGGGAACAGTTTGTGGATTGTGTAGAAGTGAAGTGCTTCAGTGCTGGAGTGTGTGTTTGCTGGAGAAGAAGTTTCTTGTGATCGAACAGATGCACAGCATTCAGCAAAATAAACACCACATCAGCTCCTCATTTAGAAACATAGGAAGTTGCCTTCCACTGAGTTAGACATTGGTCCATTTAAGCCCAGTATTGTCAATATTGACTGGCAGTGCCTCTCCAGGATTTCCGGCAGGAGCTTTTCCAGCTCTCCCTTTAAATGCTGCACCTATCACAGAGTTATGCCCCATCTCCATGGTCTTTCCAGTTATTTCCAAACAAAGATGAGACCATACAAAGAGCTAATACATCCAGGCAGACCCATGAAAACGATATTCTCCCACTACCCCAACATACGCACCACATAAACATTAGGTCATCTTTTCCTGTATATCTGAAAAGTCTTCAGAACGACATCTGCTGTACCCTAGAAAGTCTTCATTTGTGTGGGCAGACGTCAACTTGTGGGATCTAATTTGCTCTTTCACGAAGACTTCAAGATTCACCAGTTAGAGCCTGGAGCAAAAGACATGTGCTTAAAGTGAAAGGATTTTGTGCCTAGGAATTTGTTCAGTACACCAGAATGCAACGGAACTCATAATCCTTCCTCACATAACCCTACTTGGAAAACTCACCCTACCCTGCTTTATTTCAGGTTATAATTTAGTAGGGGACAGGTCATTTGTTAAATAACTGGGAGTAGGAAATAACATGGGTAGGAAATCTTTATCTTCTGCAAATGGCCCGGAGGTCCACCAGCAGATCCCAATCTGCCTTCTGCCCATGGCTGCTCTAGAACGTGAATCTATCACAGTTGTTCGGCTTTTTGCCTGCCTCACTCTTTGGTTAGATAAATGAGTCACAGTCAACATTAATTTAGAAAGTTTGTTCAGCTTTATTATCTGTTCTCTGCTTGTGTTTGATTAGCATCCATATGAAAACAATATACTGTTTTTATTAAATCTTTGCCTTAAGTTCTGTGCTAATACCACAGACCATTCAGAGTTCAAACATTCAAAAACCATTCAGAGTTAACATTTGACAATTAAATATTGTATGTACAGGTTACAATTGCTTGATTTAATAAGATAGCACATTAAGCATTCAACTTCATGCCTTGTAATCATTCTGATTAAGTGCACTATCTTTTAAAGACTAGATTCCTTGCAGTTCCAAAAAGCATTCTGTAAATTCTTGCTTTGGCCTCTGCTGCACAGTCCTGGTGTATCGCCGTCTTTTGACCTTTGGAATCTGTCATTTGCAAACGGTAGCAACAAACTGTTTGAAAACTCATTTCCCATGCCCTGCATCCTTCACCTAAGCAACAGCAAAGTAGTTAGTACTTAGCCTGGTGATCTGTTAGTCCTTTGAACTGTGGTGTCCAAATGAGTTAATTAATATAACAAGAATAGCCAGCTAAAAAAGCCTCCCTTGTTTATTCCAAATAACTGGAGCAGTGTCCCACTGTTAATTAAAGAAGAGAAGTACTATTTCAGAGCATTTGGAAGCTTGTAGCAAATTAGACACAAGCAGTGTTTATCAGTGCTAAAAATGTTCACTTGAACAAGCTGTGAGCATCGTAATTTAAGGACAAAAAGGCTGAGATCTTTTGGTCACATAGATGAATGGCTTCCTTTTTCCAAACACTTAAGCAACAAGACTCTAATTCTAAGCAAGACACTAGACAGTCTGCAGAAAAGGCCCAGACTCAACAAGCGTCTCTTTACTTTTCTGTATTCTTGAATGTGTATAGATGCATTGGGTGTTTTTACTTTTTTTATTTTTCTCAAGTTTATTTATGGAAGGTGGACTTCAAATATTTGTATACTTTCAGAAGTATACTGAGAACAGGAAAGCTTGCTCATGACTTTGTGACATTTTTGTTGGCCCTAATAAAGGTATTACTGTTTCAGATTTCAGATTTTTTTTTCCTCTGATGGACCAACACAAGGATGCATATTTTTTTAAGAAGTAAAGTTTCCCCTGATCACCCTCCTCTGCTTACAGGTGCTTGATATGACAGCAAGTAATTTTAGAAGCCTCCATATAATTTCATGGCTGATCACAGGTGCTCATGGAGCCAAGAACTGGATTGAAGCTGCCAAAAATGTGTAATACATTTTTCTTGAACAAATTGCATTTTATTAAATGGATCTCTAACAGTGGCAGTATGAAGTTTATTTCTCCATTGCTTCTTATAATACTAATAATTAAGAGCATTTAATGTTAATAATAATCACATATTATTGGTGCACCTTCTACTCTTGCTTCAGAACATAAGGGTCTGAGTGGGAAATTAATTTAAAAGCAGTTTGTCAATCAATGAAAAGCTGCACTTTTCCTCTGCTCCCCCCCCCCATCCCCATTTCACAACTATTTTTCACCCCATGAGATTCAAGTAGCATAATCCAAGGAAAAACAGCTGGGGAGAACCGATTTTTGAGGGGGTGTTCAAAGAAGTTTGGATAGGGCTTTAGTCCCTTGCATCCTTCATTTTTAGGGATGTGGAACTTCTTTTACTCCTTAGACTATTTTTATTTAACTCAGTGACCTGGCTTGCATGAAAACTGCAGCCCACTGTGGCTTATTTAAACTGTGATGAGTTCTGACACATGCTGAGGCTCATTTTGAATCTTGGGCCTTGATGGAGGTTTGCCATGATTGGTTATGTCATCCGAAGCCTGTCATTGGGGGTTGTTTGAGAGTTAAACAGCCCTCCAAAAATATGGTCTGTTGTAGAGTTGAGAGCTGCAGTGATTATTGGCCGTCTCAATTGGTTGGATCCAGACTTAGCCACAGTTAGAGCTGGCTTGCATGCTAAGTGGTTTCCTGACATTTCTAAACCACATGGCTGGGAAGTAAATGAAAGGGAAGTTTGCACACTTGCATTAACTGCAGCAGTGA